CTGGAGAGCCAGGCTTTCTCAGTAGTATTAATTGCCACTGTTTTTTCTGATGTTGGGGCTTCTGAAAAGAAAGATTGGCATAAAACACAAAAAGCTTGGGAAGCACCGGTCTACCTATTGAACCAATGAAAGCATTAATAAAGCAGACACAATTATAATGTATATGTACATAAAAAGAGTATTACCCATCAAAATATGAATGTGGCTTCTTTCCAAATGACAGTTTGCTTTCTCTAGGCAACAATAACAGTGCCTCGATTTTACATCTGAGGGACATACAGATTTCTAGGCTGAACATCAGCAAAGTCCTGTTGAGGGCTACATACAGTTCCAGCATAAATATCTGTCAAAACCTCTACTGTACCTGTGATACTTCTGGCTATTTACCTTTTTTGAATGCCTTTAAGAACTTCCAGCAAGAAGAACAACAGACATTTTAGTAAGTCTTTTGATCTAATAACCTTCCATAGTCACTGAAGTAGATCCACATGGGAAAACACACATAATCATGAAAAGGACAACAGTAAGAAACTTCTTGTAGGAATTGTGTATGATTCTTTCAAACTCATTTGATAAACCTTTGTTACTTTCTTTACATAGTAACAGTATCACTCTGACATGTTGTGCTACTAGTACACATCCAGCAAAAGCACTTTAATTCATTGCATGAAAGATACATGAATGCAATTCATACAATTTCATTGCATGAAAGATGTCTTTGCCTATAGTTCAGCACAGAAATTATAGAAGAGGACCTAGTGAAGTTCCACTAAACTAATAGTTTTGCAGTATATAATGGTGTTTATAAGTATTGGCAGGCATACCCTTACAGAATCAGGCTCTTACGTGCCCAAAGCCATGTTCAGTCCTGAACACGCTCATCCTCTCCTAAGACAGGCACGTGATGGGATGGGCTCTATACCCAGAGGGATTTCTGCTGGAAAAGCTGCCTCTTTATTGTGTATTAAATTAGTGACTCATTTCTAAAGTGAAGACACTTTTAAAATAGGGAGGTTTCAGTAATCACTGAAAGCTGTGGTTTCACAGATCGCTGAGATCTCCTAAGGGCTTCCTACTACTGAAGGACAAAGTCTCTTTTCCTTTGTCCTTGGTCCTGTCTCCCTCACTCCAAACCTTGCCATTTTGGTCCCAGCCCCTAGCTAATGTTTTCCTCCATCCCTTAAACTGTCTCTGATGCTCAAAAAATTTATGTGAGCCGATTTCACTCATTAAGACATCAGAAAACTCTCTCATTCCTTTTGCTGGGTTTGTTTCCTATCAGATTAATGTGTTAAATCAGGTCACGGCAGGGACTGAACATCAGAGGGATATAAGTGGAAGGAATACACAACAAGGAAAGTGGCAGGAGGAGACAAGGGAGGACAGACAGTGGTTGTTAAATGGCTTATCACATCACATGAGAAGTCTGTCAAGATAAGGAATATTCTAATCCACTATTTAGTATAGACCCTAAAGAAATTAAGCTTTAACAAATGCTCTTGTGTGGGTTCTGCATGACACTTCTTAAGTGTTTCTTGGGCTTCCCTGCCCTTCTTTGTCATTGGATGTTTCTTTTATGTATATTACCAAGCAAGTCTACCAGGTTTAAAGACTAAACTAAATGGATGAGAAACAATACCCTAACTTTCTGCAGTGGTCTTCTGTGTTTGTCTGGCCTTCAGTTATCTAATGCAGTGTTACACCCCTCCAATTCTTTTTCCGAGTTTGAAAGTCCCCTGAAATCATAATTATCCAACAGGGATCCACATGTCCCATGTCATCTCAATAAATCTCATTATAGGGCATTTAATCCCAATCACTGGGATGAAAACCATGCACAAATGTTTTGCAATAAACAGTTAGGAATGAGAGTTATGTGGCAGCCTGTTCAATCTACGACTTAGTCACAGACATCAGGCAAATCTGCCTGCCTTGCGGATACCATTTATAGACCACAAGGAAATGGTGCTTACAGACATCAGAAAAAAACTGCAATCATCTCACTGACTGACATGGTGAGTGTTCTGACACAAACAAGGCTATTTTTAGCAAACAAAGTGGAAAGGCTCAGAGTTTCAGGCAGATTTTTCTTCAAGTTGCCAGTCCTCACAGCTGCCAGCCCCATGCCACACCCCCTTGAACAGACATACTGTCCGCAGGCAAGAGGAGATGGGGCAAGAAAGCATGAAGGGCTGAGAAGTACTAAAAGGCCCAGGATACTTGGTGTTAAACAGAAAATATTGCTAACTTTAGAGTCCATTTACCATTTTCATTCTGAAGTTTTCATGAATAATTTTTTTTTAAAATCCAGCACCGGGAAGTGTGCCCATGTGGATTTATCATTCACATTAAGGAAAAAAATATCTCAATACTCATCCTTGCTCTGCATACTTCCATCAACCCTCTGCTACCAGTCTTTCTACCATGCAAAAGAGACTTTTGATCCAACCCACTATGGCTGACATTCTGTAACTAATATAGTCCTGGAAATACCATGGTATCAGTCGTGGAAATTTTGCTTTGGTTCTTTAGCACTGAACAGAACAGGGGAAGAAATTTCAAGCTGTGGATAAATATTAAAAGTTGACACCACCCTTGCAGCACTTCCATCAGAAATTACTACCCCACATGTGGGCTGAGCGAGTGGAAAGTCTGTCTGGACTTCGCCTTCCTTAAGTACAAAATCCTGTAGCTTTGCTTAAACTCTGGATGACAGTGGGACTAAGTAGAACTGTTGGACTTTGCACAAACATGTGTTCTCCGTATAACTCCTCCGGGGACAAATGCCTCCAGGGAGGGGCAGAGCACATAAAGGGATCCACGGCAGCTTTCCTCAAGTGCACTCACCAGAGCTTATCTGACTACATCGTTTCAACCAGCCCAGTCATCTGAAATGGCTATTTGCATGTTTTTCAAAGTGTTACAGGGGTCACACAGCTTTACATACTCTTAGTACACAGTCTTGGTACTAGTTTCCCCTTTTACTGTTGTTTATTTACTGTATTTATGTCACAAACAGGAAGCAACAATTTACAGGAACTATTATTGTTGGCTAAAATTCATCCACAAGCTTTCTAAAAGTAATACACTCACAAAAGTTTGTTTTGCTTATCTACAGGAAACATCTTGAGTAATATTATGGCAATCACAAGCACCAAAGAAATAAACACCAAGTAAACAAGGAAAAAAAACCCCCATGTTTCAATCCATTCTTTTCAGCAAAACAAGGAAATACAGGTTTCAGGAAAATAAAACATCTGTTGCCCTTCAGTGAAAGCACTTTGTTAAATCTGGGGCTACATTTGCTTATGAGACTAGAAGTAGGCACCGGGGTAGTCTGATGCTGACAGCGCTTGGCACCAGTGTGATGACTTGCCTGCATGCGTGAGAGGAGAACACAACTCCTGAACACTCTGAACTGAGTATCTGCAAGGTATGGCTGACACCAGTGTAGGCGGCCATGACACTTCTTGTGCTTAAAGCTGGTGCCCTCCTCCTCCTCCTCACCCTGACTCTACGTCTGCTTACTCAGCTGTACTGCAGAACCTGACAGGTAGAAAGCCACCTTCTTTCGGAACAAAACTCACCACCTTCTGGACAATCTGGGTTAAATTATAGGGAAAATTAATACTATTGCTCTGCACTGTTAATTTGGACTGTATTTCTGTAGACTATTGATATGTTAATTACTATTTTGACTGACTTAATCCTAAGGTTCTTCAAAATAGAGCCTGTGAAACTCGAGTGATTCTTTCCCAATGGCATTCAGGACAGAGATGTAAACAGACAAGAAAAAGTCATAGCATACCTTAGTACCTAGTTTTAGCTGGTTTGCAACAAGATCACAGAAGTCTGGGCTGTCCGATGTTTGGCTGCTGTGAAAGATGAGCATTGTTTTGTTTAATTTCCAAATTTGGTGATTGCAAACAGTATTTTGCAGCATTCATTTTAACCATTAGCAAGTGTTTTCTGTAGTAACCCTAGCTGTAGAGATGTAAATGTGTTTTCCACATGCCTGTCTTCCAAATCCACATTTTAATTTTACAGACCTACAGCTAATCTGCAAAAAGTGGGCATCATCATCATAGAGAAGGCTTGGTTATTGAAAGGGATGTGATCTATCCAGGTGGCACCTCCTGCTTCTGCCTAGGTTTCTTTTAGTTCTGCTTCACACACCTTCTCCCTCCCCTCCTAAATCCTCTCACAGAACATCATTCTCTCGGTTTCCAGCAAGCCTTCTACTAGTTCTCTGATGATGCATTAAGAACTGGTGTCTCTTTTTATTTGCTTGCAGTTCAGCACCAGTTGTGAAGCTCAGCTCTTGATTTCTATACTCTGGGCACCTGAAGTTTGATGAGATAGATCCAACCTATTAATGTTTCCCCAAAAAAGAAACGTCCAAAAGTTTTATTCCTTAATAAATGACCACAGGGCCACAGCTGTTCATAAGACATAAATGCCCACCTCTCACAAATCACCTGCACAACTGATCTTGAAGTCACTCACAGTCAGCACTGGCACAGGAGGAGCTTGATGATGTTTAATAGGTGTACCATTTGGTCAGCGTACAGATTCTTGTACTGCTACCAATTACCCTGAACTTAACCCTTTTGGCTAAATGGAATCAGACTAGCATCTTCCATGGTTAATAAAATCAGGTTTACACAAAACCAAACCAATATACCTTATATTGTGGCTAGATTGCTCTGTAAACTATAAGGCTGAAAGAAAGCAGTGATGCAATAGTCCAAGCTCTGTACCAATGCAGGTCCATGTCTCCTCAGGAAAGCCACCTGGGGTAGATACAGAGCTCTACCTCCAATGAACTGGCTAATAAGGTTTGGATATAAAATTAGTATGCAATCTTTTAAGGACTGTTAAATTAAGGAGTGTGACTATTAAAAGTCCAATTTTAGTAACATTTCTAACATTTACTCTGGCACTCCTTATGAAGTGCAGAGAACATGTAAGAAATTGTAGCATTTCTGAATAGTTCAAAGCTACCTGGAATCCCAGTCTAACACATCAGAATTCAGGACTTTGGTGTTCACCCTGGCTTGCTGTTTCACTACTTTCTCTTGTTCCTTCAGGCACAGATAATAAGAAACACCAAAAATTTAGTTTACTGCTTAAAGAAAGCCATTATCAAATTTATTATTGCCGTAACCCTACAGAGTCTTATGCTTTGTCACAGTAGGATGAACTGAGGCAGGAGAAAAGGCCTAGGGGGGACTTTCCTTACCTCCTTGTTATGAACACAGTAGTTCAAGAGAGCATCACAGAAATGCTGTCCTATTGACTCCAAGTCTTTCATATCGAAATGGGTGCTTCGTCTGCAGCCTGCAGCACCAAGAGAAGCAAGACGGAAATGAAAATGTCAGTCATACTACTGACTGCTAGGCATCTGTGATATTTCAGGGTGGTGGCTGACTCCAAACTCACCTATCTTTCACTGATAGATGCTAAACACGTCTATGATTGCCAGAGTTTTATATAGATGATAATACAGATCATTATTCTGGCTATATGAACAAATCTATCCACTCAGAGGGGATTAACTATAATGCATAGTTAACTGATTGCCTATTACAAAATTTCCTAAAAATGCAACTGGCTTTAGTCACTGCTTTTAATCTGCCAGCCGCTAATGTTATTGTTTCATGATACATGTGCAATAATGCTAGCAGTGGCCTGAAAGGTTGCTAGTTGAATGCCCTCATTTCAGTGTTTTCTTAGTTTAGTGTTCCAACATTCATCTTAAATCATCAGACAGAATGCCAACAAGGGGATGACAGCTCAAGCTATCATTCTCCATGAAAAAAACAAAAGTAAAGGTCTTGTTTGATGATTCCTACTAAATAACTACAGGGAATTGTCTCACCCAACTTAGAGCCACAGATAGAGGCTTCCAAAGTGTAGCTGTTGTTGATGCCCATCTTCCACATCATTACCACTCGACCTGTGCCTTTTTTGCTCTTTTGTACTCTGAAACGGCAATCTGGGAATGAGAACTTAAAGGACAGGTACAGTGTCAGCCTTTCAGGTAAGTAGGCAGATGCAATAATTTAATTTTAACCCTGCAAGTTTTCTTAAATCTTATCTACCAGGTAAACAATGGTGAGTTTTCATTCTACCTTACTTGAATATTGCACAACATAGCTCAGAGCATACTGTTATTACAGGTATAACGGACATGTAGGTGAAATAACAGCCTTTCAATTAAAAGTTTATTTTACTTTAAATACTCCTTTCCTACTATTTTTTTTCCCCCTAATTGAAATATCTTACACAAACGCGGTGATTTTGACACAATTTTCAACAGAAGTTTTACAAAAGGATTCAATCTGGAGAAAAATTTTTCTTCTTTAGTTTCTTATTTGCTTACTTTTTTGTTTATAATTCTATAATATATTTTGAAGCTGCATTTAATATATGAGTACACAATATTTAATGTTAGTTTTTGACATTAAAACAATGTTAGTTTCATATTATTTTTTTTTCCATTTAAAAAAACCCCAAACTTTAAAGAATGCTAACTTTATGTCCCAATTCAGCACGATACATTTTGGAGTGCTGGAATTTCAAAGGAGTTAAAATTTCATATTCCTACCATTTCTAGTTTTAGCCCACTGAAGATTATTTTACTGGGTGAAGTGCGGTCTTTTAGTAAATGTGACAACAAAAAATCAGAGATCCCAGATGGTGCTTGAATTTTTAGGTAAGTTTCCAGCCAGACATCTGCTTACCTTATCTGGGCAGCTCTTGCTCAGCAAGAGTGGGAAGACAAATGGATGCACATATGGTCCTTTTGCTTGCTGCCTTCTCTCACAACCATACATGAAGACATTTTGTTTCCTGTTGTGACCGTGGATGTCACAATACAGAAAAACATCACGTTCCCCCATCACTCTGTAATATGGGATGGCATAGAATACATTATTAAAAGTGGTGGTTTTTTTCTCCACTTCAGAAACTAGTCTGAGTTAATATGTTACACTGAAGCTCATGTGTAACTTAAAGAGAAAGAAATCAATACAAATTTCATATTCTGAACTCTAAGTTAAACCTTTAATGATGTGCTAGATTCGAGCCAAATTGCTCAGTTCCCTTCAGAATAAAACACTTGTCACTGCACAGAAATAAGATATGAGTGTAGGCATCATCAGCCTTTGTCCATGTGTTTGTTCTAGCTCTCAGGCTCAGTTATATACATCCAGCTCTGTAGATGTATACACGAGCATGTTGTACAGCTGAAATCCGCTATTCTTATCTGCTGCTCTTTCACTACTGAACGTGTTGAATAATACAAGCTTTACAATTATGAGACTGAAGCATAAATGGCAGTGAATATTCTTTCCTTTATCAAACTGGAGACATCAATTTTTATGATATGCCAAGATTCTGTAACATATTATTGCTTAACTCACTTTTAAAAGAAAATTTTCAGGTAGACACAATGGGGTTTAGCAACCCACGCCCCCAATACCCAATTTGTGTTGAAGCAGAGCTCTACAGGGAAGATGCGATGACACCACAGCATTGTCACCTGGGGCTTTACTCTGGGCAGGAGTTGGAAATCCGTGGTGGAATTAAGAAGGAAGAAGTAATAAACATATCTGTCTCAGCTGACAGTAGCTGAATATGAGGCTGAAGGTCAGTTGCATTTCAGCAGACATAATTAATATTAATTAGAGGGCAGTGACGAGTGCAGGCTGTCTCCATATAGTAAGACAGAGAGAGGAATTCTCATGGAAAAGAAGGAGAGGTACAGTGCTCATCTCCTGTAAGCTAGGGATCTACATGCCAAAATAGTCATTTGAAAAAACACAGATCTTATTTTAAATAGGCTGTAACTGGCAGTGGATGAAAAACCATTAAATGTACTAATTCTGTCATTGGCTTTTTGCACAAGAGTCTTGTTTGTATTAATTTGTTACAGAATTTAAACCAGAGGTGATGTAGGAAAAATAAGGGTTAAGACTGCACAAAGTATATGCCACCTCAAGTATCCTTAACAGTATGTTCTGAAACTATAGTAACCGGGATAAGATTTCTCAATGGACCAGGGATTTAGAGCAATAGGACCCTTCAAACTATTCTTTCTCGACTGTAAGTGCATATAAAATATATCTAGCCTTGGAATAGTATCAAGAAATAGTGTACCCTCAACGCTCCTGTATTGATTTTAATACTAAAATGTACACTCCTTTGTGAATAATGAGCACGTTAATTAGACCTCCTCAAATGTTTGAAGCATGCAGTAAATGCATACGTATGGTGAAGGCGGGTGAAAGGTGGTTAAGGAAGTTTAAGAACACCAATCAGCTACATCTTGTTATTATAAAAAAGGCACGCTTGATGTACTTGCTGTGCTGGCTGGTGTTAGATGCCTGGCAGCCTATTCTGGCCAGAATTGAAACAAATAAATGTCTTGACTCTGTGTGTGATTGGCTCTTTGCACACCGGGTGAAGAACCCAGATTTGGGACAACAGAAGGATTTAGTTTACTAGCTGAAGGTTTAGTTTAATACCCAAAGGTTTAGTTTTATATCCAGAGTATCAATGTCTGTGTGACTAGAGGTCTGCGTAAGAAATCAAACATATTTGTAGCAAAACTGTAGTGCTGCAGCTGTCCGGACTACTCTGAGATCTCAGGATAAGCCCTGTTGTGCTGTTATCTTGGATACAAGTGCTGTGACTTGGGTGCCAGGCACCCCCTGGCCACACCTGGGCTACCTGCTGCCTGAATTGACTACCAGAATGAGGACAAATTGTGGCCAGAATGGAGAATACTGACCAAAGCCAATCATCTCGAGATTGTATAAGCAGCGACCCAAAAGCGAGACTTTTTGAGCTCTCCGGGACCACAGCGGGCTGTGAGCCAGGATCTCCCCTGAGCTGGGACGCCCATCAGGGTAGATTTCATGAGGATTGGAAGATCATCCATCAACGATTTCGTGAAGACCCCGAGACCTGATTTCATGAGGTTCACTGACTGTCCGTTGATGAGTGCTGGCACATAGAAGTGAGTAATTCATGAAATTCACGAAAAGGGAAATTTTAATCATAGGTTAACCTCTGTGTGTGTGTGCGCACACGCATGCAATTTGATGGAGAACTATTTGCCTGTCTGTCTGTGCATGTGCGTGCATAATTTGATTCAGGATTAGGTTTGTCTGCCTGTCTGTACGTGTGGTTTCCTTTAATGTCCATCTGCGCGTGCAACCCTGCCGTAAGTTTCAGGTGACCCTTGCCACTCTCAAATCCTTAACTAAGTCACTATTTTGATTGCAACAAATTCCACTGAACTGCTCTGTTAAATTGGCTGAGGATTAAGTGCTGTTAATGATTATACAACCTAATCTTGTGATCTATCTCAAAAATATTAATAAATCCTGAATTGCTGTTAAACCAAAGCCATGTAACAAAATCTTATTTGTGACAAAAACATACAGCAAACTTGGCAATCTTTTCTGTCAAGTGGACACGTGGGATCTGTTCTGAACCTAACTTCATTCTGGGATGTGCTTGTATGCCAGAAAAGAAGAAAATGAGACAAATAAGGAATCCAATAAGTAGATTTTGGCAGACCATAGTGGGGAGAAATATGCTAAAAATGTTTTGATGAAAACTCTTTTGTTTTGGAGATATAACATAACCAGGAATGGAGAAAGGATATTACAGGAAAACCTGCATAATACTGAATAAAAAAAGAACCCACTTAGAAATGCAACTGAACGCAAACCAAACAGTCAACCCTTGGGTACAGGGCAAAGATGTAAACAACATTGTTTCTCTAGGGGAAGAGAAAGAGGGAAAGTGAGGGAGGAAGAAAGGGAAGGAGGGAGGGAGGGAGGGAGGGAAGGAAGGAAAAGATGTAAACAACAAACGACAGAGAAGTCACACTAACAAAGAGACAGTGGAAAGGAAAATCATGTGTTCTAAAGAGAAAGAAAATGAGGTTACCTTCTGATCATGTTTCGAGTATACCAAATGGAAGGATAACATTTCTTCACATTAGATCTGTATTTGCAGTTCAAGTCCTGACCTGCTAAAGAGCAGCGGTGATTTCCCACAATCACACCATCTGGATTCAACATTGGTACCACTTTGAAGACAAAATTGTCTCGCAGCAGTTGAGCTTTGCCTGAATCGCTAAGAAGGTAATCCACAAAGCCCTTCATTATCCAGGAACTGTTAGTTTCTCCTGGATGCACCCTCGCAGTTAGTACCACAACCTTCCTCTCGGTGCCCTTGCCACTTTTGGAGGGGTTGGTGATAGTTAAAACATACATTACGTTTCCTGCCAGTGAACGGCACAAGATGTGAATCTTGCAGAATTTGGACTTCACTGGATCTTTAGAGATGGTCAGCAGGTACTCCTGCAGGTTGGAGTAGGTGTAAGGATAGCAGTGGGCAAAGTAGCAGGTGTCTCGGTCACAAGGGAACTGGAACGTCCAGGTGAGTGAGAAATACTGACGTCCACCTTGGCCCGCATTGTTTTTGTAATACTTTATTTCATTTCCAGTCCTTCGCCAGCCAACCTTGTGTTTCTTAGCATCGGCTTCTGAGTACAACAGTGGCCGCAAGCCACATTTATATAGGCTGTTACGCATGGTAAAGTTGACAATAGTGAAGCGATATGGCATCCCTGCCTGCGTGTTGCTTACTTGGAAGTAGTACCACTGCATGTGTCTGCTTGTGTAGAGGTCAGTGCGCAGGGTCAGCTGGTACTCAAATTCATTGCTGGTAGGGAGAAAGCAGACAAACAGTTGTGATGCTGGTTAGCACTGTAGTATGATGTAGTATCAAATATTGTGGACTGACATGAAAAAGCACCCCGCAGATAATCAGGTGCAAATCTGATTTACACTGTCATAAATCAAAGTCTACGCAGCTGCCAGGAAAAGATGCCTAATTGCACTGAGCGTGTCAATAATGCGACTGCTGTCCTCATTAGGACTTCTAAAAATAACTGGGACTTCTAAAAACATTCTCCATGTGATGCTTTAAAAGGAGGTGCCTAAGAAAAGGTGTTGAGTTTGTGTGGGTGATTATCACCTATAGAAAACATTCAGTGCTATGGAATGGCTGTCAGACCATTTGAAGTGAAGGCTACCTGAAACTACTTTTGAAGCTTATTCAATGAATTTAAAACAAGTTACAAACCCAGAGTAACACACTCTGCTCAGAAATTGATAGCAGGCTGCTGATAATATCAACTCTGATAATAACTTCATCATAATTAAAGCAAAAAAGCATAGAAACTTACACTTTGACCACCTTCTGCAAATTCCCACTCTCAAACCGTGCTTCAAAGACCAGTGTGTTGTCCCCTTTCTGATGGAAGATCTGCTTCAGGGGGCAGAGACCTCTCACTTGGGAATACATAAAGCAGGAGTTTTTGTTAACTAGGGGAAGGAGCAGAACAGATGTCTTTCATTTCAGTATTAGTCATTTTAGGGGATACCTGCATCCTTCTGAAAATTCCTTCTAGAAACAGACAACTGCATGGAGCTGAACTTCAAAGCATATCTTAGGTAAGCGTGAAAGAAATTATACGAAGATTTTGCTGCCCATTCCCACTTAACCTCATGGATTTCAGCCATATAAGGTTCAGCCGTAAACTGAACTCTGCCTTTGTCTTGGAGGTGCCTGTGTCTCTCTGCCTGAGCAAAGGGCAATTCATATTCTGTACTTAGGCAAAGCAACTGAGCAACTAGGTTAGGTGGAAACTGAGCTGGGACTCAGCTCCCCCAGGCCTTTTCACCAATCAAACGGGTAATTTCTCTACTCAGAAATCACATGTAGCTGACAACTCTTGCCATCAGTTTGTTTTTAAATCTCTGTATTCAATAATTCTAGTCTAGAAGTAAAAACTATGACACCCAGACGCAGCAGCAATCACTTCACAGTTAGCATGCTTTGAGCCTATATCTTCTTTTGCTCTCTTCTGCTACTTTTTCCTCAGATGAGAGGCTCCACAGAGGCACAGCTGACACCTTTTACTACAATCTTTGTTACCTTAGCTCATTAAACACCAGAACTTCTAGGTTTGCCATCAGCAAGAATTTACTTTTTTGGTTGGGAAGTTGTTTTGGTTCCAGAATATTCTTGTCATAATTTTAATGGTCAAGGATCCTCCTTTTACAGAACCAAGGCAAGAATTATTTTCAGTATTTATTTTCTTGCTCTGTATTGGCATCAATATGGTGGCAAAGGCTTGGAAAACAAGGGTAATCAAAACCACATACTATGAGACTGTGGGTTTCATACTGCCAATATCGAACTGTCTGTCTATCTGACAGAAGTGAAATTCCCTGCTACGTAACTTTCTAACTAGCACCAGTACTGGTGACTGGACCCCAATCTCCAAGCTACTGTATTCCCAGCTCCTGGATTCTTGCTTCTCTCTGTCTCCTTACCGCTGGATCCACCTGAGGAGAAACTGCTGCCTTACCATGCTGCCAAATAAGGGGGACTGACCCTGTACCATACAGCAGGGTTAGAACTGCGCAGCAGCCCCCGTTCAGGTCAGAGTTATGTCTGCCCTTGCTTCACTGGGGCTGTGCTAGAAATTTATCCTGCAGCAGTCTGTCTTATTCTCTCCTGTAGTGTTATTAAAGCTCTGCCAGTACTACTCAGTGATGTTATGTAAAGCCAAGATGCCTGTAAGTAATTTTTTCATTCCTTGAATCGCTGTTGCCACATGCAAAAGATGCCATATTCAGTGTATTGTTCGAAGTTACTACAGACCCATAGGGGTTTTCACTAGAGAAGGGCTGTTAGCTTTGCTAGCTGGGATACCCACTCGAATAATTACTTTCCATTGAGCTGAAATTCCACTCACAGTTTCTCTACCCTTCCCTTCCTCTTCATGCTCTTCCTTAACATTAAGGAACAAAAATGTTTCAGCAGTTAATCCAGTAAAACTGTTTCTGGAAACATTTGAATCAGTCAAATGCTATAGAATGAAACGCATGCATAGAATTTGAGATCTCTGTTTTTTAATTTTTCTGCATGGGAGTCACCATTGGATTGGGTTTTTTTAATCAGATTTTAGGAGGGCCTATAGGAATTCAGCAGCAGGTAGTTTCCAGGCAGGCAGTAACTCCCAGCTCCTGGTGGATTCAA